TGAATGTAATCAAACTTACTTCCTCCAACCAAGTTCCATTTTAAAGTAAAGAAAGAAAACCTAAACCTGCAAAAAATTTAAAGGTTTGAATTTCCATTCTCATGCCAAATATTCTTCTAATGCTTCAATTTCAATGATAAAATCTGTTAAGCTTAAGGAAGTATCTGAGATGAAATAAGAAAAGATTCTTTTATCAGTAATAAATTATTATTTTTTATTTTGTATTTATTCATTGAAGTGGAAATTAAGCATGTTTCAGTGATCACAGGACAATTAGCAAATTCCTTCAGACCCCAAGCTCAGCCATCTGTGTTTGGAAGCTAGATTTAAAATACTAAGTATGGATTTTGCATCCAAGATAATTGCATCAGTTCTTTCCTTTATACTATTTAAGATAAATCCAGCTCCCAACTAAAATTTTATAGACTTACAACCTACAACAGTATCAATAGGAAATTGTCTTGACTTTGAAAATTTAGATTTGAGCAATTCGTAGTTGTTAGGTCAGTGTTTCCGACACTGGTGCCTACTGTTAATTTATTAATCTTACTATTGTAAATGGATCCCATTAGGGTCATGGATGGAATAGTCTTTTAAATTGTGTCCTTTAAAAGTGTCACTGCTTTGTTCAAATTCACTCAATATTCTGTCTCTCAGGCAACACAACTTAAAGGAGCTCAGAAGAGAATAAATGAGTGCGGCCGCGCAGGTGGTGATGGGAGCGACGTGGCGCTCCCATGTAACGCCTCTCCTGCGCGAGCTGCACTGGCTCCCGGTGGTCTTCCGAGTGCGCTTCAAGGTTTTGGTCATCACCTTTAGAGCGCTCCATGGCTTAGGACCTGGTTATTTACGGGACCGCCTGCTACCACCAATAGCCTCCCACCGACCAGTACGCTCCCATAGAGAGGGGCTCCTCCGGGTGCCGTTGGCCAATGTCGACTGGCGGCCCCCAGGGGGAGAGCCTTCTCTGTGGGGGCACCTACTATCTGGAACGAGCTCCCCCCCGAGATACGGAGGATTCCGGATCTGCGTACCTTCCGTCGCACGCTTAAGACGTTCCTATTCCAGCAAGCCAGCCTGACTTAAACTTTTCCTCTTTTAAATGGGAATTTTAAATTTGGTTTTAAATTATTGGGGTTTTAAATATGGTTCAGCCAAATTTATTTAATCTGTTTTATCTCTATTTTAAATTTTGTATTTATATGTTTTATTTTATGGCTGTTCACCGCCCTGAGTCCTTCGGGAGTAGGACGGTATACAAATTTAATAAAAACAAAAAAAACAAAAAAAATAACAAATCTGCCAATAAGAGAGGTAATTTTTCTGTCAAATGATCTTCTGCCAAATGAGAGACTTGAATTGTTAAATGAAGTATAAAAAACGTATGTATAAGCCAGTTCACCTATCTAGAAGGATAGCTTGCTTTTTTCCTGTTGTTATTGTTGTTCATATAGACTGGAAAATAAGCTACTTTTCCAGGGAATGGTTTGAAGTTAAGCCACTTATGATAACCAGAAAGCATCAGAAAGAGTGGAGGCAGTTTTCATAGATTATTCAAATGTCTAACAACAACTTTTGTTTTTTTAAAATTGTTTCCGGTGCTACAGTACACAACCTGGATTGAGACCTATCACATGTTCAGAGATCACCAGATCACACTATTATAGCTAACATTGGGTGACACAAGTTGTTACTGATTTTAGATTTAAAAGACTGGTTGGATTATGTGACACATTTTTTTCTAAAACCTTTCAGTTCAACTAAATAAATACAAGATTTGTTCTTCTAGAATTAAGGTCCAGAAAGTTTACACCTTCCAAACTTTTAATGGATTCCTGTTTTAGTCATTTTAAGCATTATAAAATATTTGACTCTGGATTTAGTTCAGTGGGAGGGGCTTCGAAATACCAATACTTGAAGAATTTATATAATGTTGTCGTAACAATTTCATGTAAATATTCTTAGAAAGAAAAGGAAAAATGTAACTTGCTTAGGAAAGTGGAATAGCCAGTTGAGTACGCTCATTTTAATTTTAATAAGGAAATGTGGTAGCATGGTAGCATTAGGGCAGTTCATAATTAGTTTGGTATGTTAGCAAAACAGAGAAAACAAAAAGGTCTTATCTAATTAAGTGAAACTAGATGAACAATACTGAACACAATCCTGGTTCAAATCCAATTCCATGAGTGCAGAGCCAAATATTCTTATCTAATAATTTTCTTTCCATTTACAACATCTCATATCCTTTCTAGAAAATTCAAGTTTCCAGAGTTCATATAATACTATTTATATAAACAAAATGAAATCACACGTGGACAAGAAACATGTATACTGAAGCTTGATGGAAACCAAGGTGTCCACAAATTTCTATCGCTGTTTTTATTTAAGAGGGAAAATAACTTAAGGCGGGGGAGCTACCAAGTATTGTGAAAGGAAACAACAATATAGAAAGGGTAAGAAGGAAAGTATTGTGAAAGAATTGATATGTTGATCAAGAGCATACCATACTCTGGTTAAATTAACACATGGTAAACTGAGTGAAGCACAGAAATACGGAGTTGCCGGACATAAATGAACCATTAAAAAATCCTCCCTTTTTACGATCTTGTAATCCCTAAATTTGGAGTAGAGTCGGGACAACTAGATGGATCTGAGCATTTACTCGTTGCCCTTCCTGACGCCACGTGGGGTTCACAGCAGTTATTTTTTCTTTGTGCCCTAGGAGAGAAATATCTGCCGCTACATAGGATTGAATTCTCAACCTTCTAAATATCAAGAAATCCCACTTGCCTTCATGGTCTTAAAAAAACAAACAGTGAATTATCCCTTGATTTAGAAAGGCAGAAGGAAAAAACTCAAGATTTAAATCCTGAAGCATAGAAGGAAAAAACTCAAGATTTAAATCCTGAAGCAAGTTTTGACTGTTATAATCTACAGTTGACAAATCTTCTCTGATCGTTGGATTAATTGTTCTCTGCAATAAAATATCTATTCTTGTCAAGGCATTTCCAAGAATATTTATTTTATTTTATTTTATTTTATTTTGAATTTATATACCGCACCTTCTCTCGAGGGACTCAGGGTGGTGTACAGCCAGATAAAAACATACAATAAAAACATTAAAAAAACAATTAAAAGGATATATATTAATTTGGCCCCAATTTAAGATAACAAACCAATATACTGGGGAGTAAGCAATTTCACAACAACCTCACACTATGTTTAAGTTCGTTTTGTTGTATCTCTTTGTGGTTTATAGTGTTTTCGCTTTGGTTTTAATTGTTTGCTGGCTAGTATTAATATATTGTGAGATGGGTATAAATTGTATAAGTAAATAAGTTGAGAATAAGGAGAGGCTAGATGTCTATGGAGATTCTCAGTCATCCAGGTCATGGTTGTCCCAAAGGTGCTTTTTCAAGAGGCAGTTGGACTTTCTGGTTTTTTCTTTGAAGACGTTTCGCTTCTCATCCAAGAAGCGAAACGTCTTCAAAGAAAAAACCAGAAAGTCCAACTGCCAATTGCTTCTTGAAAAAGCATCTTTGGGACAACCATGACCTGGATGACTGAGAAAAACCAGAAAGTCCAGTTGCCTCTTGAAAAAACACCTTTGGGACAAGGAGAGGCTAGATTAATTCATAAAGGACAAAAACTATTACATGCCTGAACATATTATGCTAACAGGCTGTGTTCATATAATAAAAATAGGGATTTTGCAGTGATGCAAAAAGACAAAATAAGCATGGTGCGAATCCTAGCCTTTCGTACTTGCATCCCCACAACACACAAATACTGCAAATATTTCACATCACACACCAATCCCCCAAATAAAATGATTGAAAAGTCATAAAATCATAGAGAAATCTGATAAAATCTTATCATTTGAGATTTTTATGTTTAACTCTTAAAATTTTACTTTTTTATTTGTTGTGGGGTTTTTTGCTTGAGCTATTGGTTAAAATGTTGAGAGTAATTCATGTCTGTGCTTTGGATGTCAATTAAAGAAAAAACCTAATATGCCAAAAGATCCAAGATTCAATATTTACCATCTATTGTTGAAGATATTGTAGGGCAACGAACCTAGGAAAGATCTTTGAATGGGTCTGTGAGAAAATTTTAGATAAGCAGGCAGTACTGAATGAATAAACCAAGTCCAGACATGTGCCAGGCCTTCTGTCCCTAAATCCCTTTGGAAGTGTTTTTTTTTCTATTTCTATTTTTACTAAATTTTCTTGGATAAATGTCTCAAGGCATGGATGTTGCTGCAGAATATGATATATTTACATAATAAATTTATAATGTGGGTTAAAACTTGGCTAACACTGGTGTGAAAATAGCATGTAATTTTTTGGGAACTTATAAGCAAGTTATAGGCAAATCAATTTAAGGTAATAAAAAACCTGACCAGGTTTTTAAATTAACTTCTAAGTAAATTGTAAGAAGAGGGATTACCTAAAATTGCAAAATGGCAATACAGTTCAACATTCTTTTGATTTCACAGTTTTGTCCAGGTATGTTAGCAGTGTCTCAAACCTGTGAATTGCTCTCAGCATTAGAATAACGAAAAATTCAGCGTGTGATGGATTACATATTGAATTCAACAAAATATATTAATGATGATGGTTGTTTCCATTTTGCTTTAGTAGCAACTTGGCTTTAAATTTGTGGAATCCTCTACCCTGCATCTAGTGTAACTTTCCACACCTTGCCATCTTCCAGATGTTTTAGGACTACGTGCTCATTCTGCTGAGTAGGAATTCTAGATACTACGTGCCTGGAAAGCACCAATTTGGGGAACATTGTTTTCATTGATATATAAGGAAAAGCATATTTATTTTATTCAGGGTAGAACATATATAAATCTACACCAGTCCATTCTAATAATAAACAAGGTGGAATATGTAATTATTTAACATCAGTTTAAAGCTCTCTCCTTTATTGTCTTGGTGCCATCTACACCCACGTACAGATCACCTGGTTTTGACATCCTGGCAGCTCTTCAATTTATTCTTGTGCTCCAGCTCAGCATTCGGTGACTCTAAGAAGCTGTTCAACCTGAAAGAAAGCAACTGGCTCTGTGACATCTACAGTATCTTGGGGGCAAAAGTAGAGTTGGACTGAAGAGCTAAGGTACCACTTCTTAACTTCCTTAAATAGAACATTAAATATTTTTTTAAAAATAGAAACCAAAAAGCCCTCTGGAAAATAGACTCCTGTTGCTACAAAATTGGCAATCTAATTGATCAAATGTGAAAGCAAACAACAATCAATGGTTGTTTAGTGTTTGAAGTTGTTGCCTAAAAGGTAGAGATATAGCTTAGAAACAGTGTCCATTGTGATAATTAAATCTATAGAATTATAGATAAAACCTGAACAATGAAACTAATTTTACACTAAGAAAAGGTAGGTACCGGTAGTTTCTGATGCATTATTACTATATTGCAACTAAGTGTCAAAATGTTTCTTTAATTCTTTTTTTTTTTTTACCATAATGCTGACTTAACAATATAGTCTGATCTAAATGGCAGGAAATAATATCTTCAGATATGGTGAATGATAAGATGACTTGCTAAATGTGTTAAAAAAAACTAAACTGGTATATAGTCAGCATAAGTAATAGAGTAGGTTTGGATCTTGGAAACTTTTCATCTTATCTGTAGAATTATAGAAGAAATTCATCAATTGTTAAGATTCAATCTTTATAAGAACTAATATGCAACATAATTTGGAAGGCATGGACCCTATGTTTTGCTCGGTGTAGTAAAATTTTGAGCAGTGTCTAAATTTTTATTCTGAATTAATTTTTTTGGCATTTGAAATAGAAGATACTTTAACAACTACACTAAGTGGAAAAGTATACTGCACTACATGAATTAGTCGTAAACTAATTAAAATTGGAAGTATTTTTCAACATTTGCTACTAAGGAAAACTTTGCCTCAGGTTATGCCCATTATACATTTTTCTTTAAATTCTTCTTTCTTGACAAGTCATCAAACCATCAGGAAAAAGCAACTTCCTTCAAAATCTTTCACAATATACTTGGCTGTTAAAATATTTCTTTTAAAACTGAACAAACAAATTCATTTTTGTTATTAAAAGGGTAGTCTATTGCAGTGTATTTTGTGTTTTGTAGATTACATACTTACATACTATGTTACATACTATGTTTAGGAATCAAGAAAAGAAAGAGATAAGAATATAGCAACATTTGGGATATAAAATTGGGATAGATTTTGAAGCTGAACAAAGAAATGGTTAAGAGGTTTATAAGATTACATTGTGATGGTGAGACATCAATTTTCTGCTCTCATTACCCGTCGCTACTGGTTCGCTCATGGGTGTGCACGCGCTCACGTGTGCATGCGACACTTATGCATATGGGCAAAAGTGTCCAGGCAGGTGGGCGGACCCTCCCGCTGCCGCCGCTACCAGTTTGCCCAATCCGGGGCGAACTGGTAGAACCCACCACTGCTCATTGCCCTCTTGCCTTTCTAATTTTCAAATCTTATCTTTCACCCAGATTATTGCTTATGTTTTTGTTAGTTCGATTTACAAGCTTCCAAAACATGATTGTTGAGAATTCATAATGGTAAAGTTCAATAAATTGAGAAACATGGATGAAAACTGTGAATGTTCCTCCTCAAAGAATGAAACTTAGAGCTAACAAGTTAAACATCAACTTTACACAAAGTAGTATATGGTTTGAATAAATCCAGAAGTTTATTTTCAACATCTGTGAAATAGGATACCTTTGTCCAGAATAATAGAAATCATACTCTTATTAAAAAACATATATCTGTTCACAATTCTTCACATATAGGCATGTGATGGCCAGCTCTACCTCCAAAGAACTATTCACATTTCATCATCCATGTTACGTTGTTGATTACTTTGAAAATAGATGGTTGCAACAAATTGCTAATTCAAGAATTGGGGAAGATGAAAGGGAATAGATAGACTCAGTAATAAACTGCTATTTATAATTGAGAAACTTGTATTGCACAAGCAGAATTTGAATCTATTTATTCCTGACTTTTTATATATACCACATTTTCAAAAACTCCGTGCCTACCTTTTACCAAACACTTTTGATCCAACAATAATTATAATTCTTTGGAAAACTTCAAAGGATCCTGTAATTTTTAACTTTAAAAGATACTGATCTTTTTACTCAATAATCTGACAATTATATGTGCTAGCTACATGAGGTAATTTGCTGATTTTTAATTGATTATTATATATTATATGGAATCAGGTATACCCAAGCAAAAAGAAAATGCTGTGGTATTATAGTTAGTTAAATTTGCTTGACATGTACTTTCATGGTTCAGCTATAGGGCAAATATACCGTGTCTATTTACACCCTGTTCTCAGCTGGGATCGCCAGAGCCATGGAGAAGGAAAAATCTTTTCTCCTTTCACATGGCCCTGATGATCCAAGCTCTGACGATCTGCTAATAAGGCAACTCAGCTGGGATCGCCAGAGCCATGGAGAAGGGAAAAACTTTTCTCCTTTCACATGGCTCTGGCGATCCAAGCTCTGACGATCTGCTAATCAGGCAACTCCGCTGGGATCACCAGAGCCATGGAGAAGGAAAAAAGTTTTCCCCCTCCAGCTTGCTTACCTTAGCTGCTAGTCGCAACACTTGCCTTGCTTCGCTTGCCTGAATCCATTCCATCAGCAAGCAACTCCCTGCCTGCAATCAAGCAGACAGGGAGTTGTGGACTTCAACTCCCAGAATTCCTCAGCCAGCAAAACAAAGCTGGCTGAGGAATTCTGGGAGTTGAAGTCTACAAGTCTTAAAGTTGCCAAGGTTGGAGACACCTGTTCTATTGGGTAAGTTTTTTTCCCTTTTGGGATCTTTAAAAAAAAAAGTTAATTGGGGTTTTTTTTAGTTGTTCTTTTTAGACCTAGCCATTTAAAGTTTAGGAAGTTTTAAATTTAGCTTTCATATAAAAATAAAAATAAAATAAAATAAAATAATATTTGTGCAGCTTTCTGAGATTTAGTGTGTTTTTGTAGTGTTTCACTCTAACTAAAACACACAAAATCTCACAAAGCTGTATGTGGAATTTTGTGTGTGTACAGTGTGAAAGTTGGGTTTTGGGGCTTTTTGTGGCTGTGTGAGGTTCCTGCTTGTTGCAGGGGCCATTTTGGGTCTAGCACAGCTGCTTTTACATTGTGGGTGAGCCAGTTGATGTTTTTTAATTTTTATTTGGTGTGCGTTGGAAAGGGGTAGTCTTATATGGCGAGTATAGCCCAAACCCTATATTTTAACAGGAAAAGTCGGAGGTCATCTTATACGCCCAGTCGTCTTATACGCCGGAAAATATGGTATTACTGTTTCAGATATAAAATGTAATTGTCCAGTTAAGTAGGAAGAACAGAGTTTAGCATTACCATAAGAAGTTTAATTTCTTATTAGACTATGGATCCTAAAGACTTCAACCAAGTTGTCTACATAAATGATACATAAAAATAAGCAAAGTTCGGAAGCAAGTAGACACACATCTGAAAGACATTTTTTTTACTAGATTTCTATTAGATTACCTCAGAGTTGAATTGTAGGCTATTCTGAACTTTTTGGTTCAAATTACATTGCGCTAAAATGCTTCCCTTTTTTATTCTCTTCCCAATTTCAAAATTGTGTTGCCTTCTCTGTGCTATATGTCTCTTCTGATTATGTACTATTTTCCAGGAAGATGCACATTGGAGGAAATTATTAATCAGAGCTCAGTATATTTGTATAGTTGCTTTAATGATTAAACCTGCATATTGTTGAAGATAAAGAAAAGATAGGAAAAAGAGAATTTTTGTCCAGATTAGCAGCATATTGATCAATGAACTTCAGTAATTAATTACTGGAACATAGATTCTTTTAAATTACCATTTGCAGCTGTAAAATAGTTTTCACATTGCATCTTTAGAGTTACTTATGTGTTTCTGCTCTCATTTTTTTTTAGCATTTTCATTTTTATTTATAAAAATATATTTATTTATAAAAGAAGGCAGCAGATATGTGGCATAGGCTGCAATCTAAAAGATGCAGAAACAATGGTGCCAGGGGAATTGGGGGCAATTCCACTATTGAAAATTGATCTTCTGGAAAGAGCTCAGGCAGAGGAAGAGGTTATTCAGCAGAAAGAGTGATTAATGTAATGGTTTATGACAGAGATTATAATAATTGAGTCTTCGGAGAAAGGCGGCATACAAATTGAATAAATAAATAAATAAATAAATAAATAAATAAATAAATAAATAAATAAATAAATAAATACCATTTGAGATTTCTTTGATTTATTTTATTATTAATACAATTTGTTCTGAAATAGGAAACTTTATTATCCAATGTTCAACACTTTTACCAAGCAAAACAAACCTTGCGACAAAGGGTAGAGGACACCAAAAGACAAACCGACTTAGGGAAAGCTCTGCTGTTTCTGGCTTCAGACGCCATTAGATATGTTGTCACTCCTGTCAGCTATTTTAGCCAGTTGGAGTCAGCAAACCATCAGAAAGCATTTTCGCTCGCACAGTGCCATGCGCTTCCATTGGCCGCCCTGTATGGCAAGTATAAAAAGATACTATTGACTGAAAGACTCTGTTCCTGTGGCTCAGGAGAGGTGAAGACTGTGGGTCACATAATCTTTCGATATTCCTTTTACACAGAGATTAGGAAAAAACATATTCTCCCAATAATTGCTAGGTATCCTGGCCATTCCGACACTGCTTATCTCCAGTGGCTGCTTAAGGATGAACAATCCATAACAGCAGTGCAGGTGGCTAGATTCTGCACAGCAGCAGTGGGGATTCGTCGGAATCCACCATAATTATGTTATATAAGAAATGTGGCAAACTCTTTGCACTGCTTATTCCTTTCCCTTTTAGTATTAAACTGACAACGGGCCACACATTTTATGGATTGTAATTTTAATATAGTTAGACCATGTATAATTGACAGATTGCATTTTATCATAGATTTTAGTTGTTATTTAATATTTTATATTAGAATTTTTAATTGTATATTTACTGAGTGTTTTTATTTGTTTTGGTCTCTGGTCTATGATTGTAATAAACTGAATTGAATTAAATTAACCTGTTTTTAGAAGACTTGGTTTAAATATAGCT